ACAACGCAGCCATCCTTGTCTGGGAAAAAAAATGAAGACCACCATTTTGAAGAATAAAAGGAAAATGCCTAAGAATTTAACCCATCTCTATTGGGAATGTGGGACTTTCTCCATGATTTTTAACTGATTTGTATTTCATTGTGAAATCTCCTCCTCTTGAATTTTTTTTTCAACAAACCCATCGCACTTAATTTTGGCAGGGATTTGTTGCTTTTCTTTGTTTTCTTTGCACGTGCCTTTTGAGTCAGTTTTTCAATACTGGTGACTGCCTGGACTAGACCTTGCAGTTTTTCCGGTAAGATGTTTTCAAAGTGATTTCTTCGGTTAGGTCTACAACAGGGATGGTCAACTATGGCTCAGGGCTGGCTCAGGAATTCTGGGAGTTGAAGTCCACTGGTCACAAAGTCGCCATAGTTGAGCACTCCTGGTCTGCAGTATCATTCAATCCTCTGTGGCCATTTGTGGAAGCATTGTTGACCATCTTATTGACATGTACTAAGACGTATTATTTATTTCAGGCAGTAGAAATCTATTTTCCATCTTGCCAACGTGGTGGTGGCGGTGTGTGTGTGTGTGTGTGTGTGTGTGCGCGTGTCTGTGTGTACTACATGTGAATGTCTTCTTGTTGACTCACAGCCTGAAGCTGCGATGAGTAGCAAGCCATTAAAGGAAAGAATCTGTAAAATCTCCAGTTGCCTCTTTGCTGTTACAGCCTTTGATCAGGTCAATGCTGCTGTAATCCAGTGAGATCTGGAAGGTCACAGTTTCTCTCCTGGAATGTCTTAGCCGAGATTGGTAGCATTTTTGCAGGATCTCCAAAGAAAGCTCTGTTGTCCTCTGGGCCTTATAAACTGGAGATTGTGGGTATTGAACTGGAAACCTCTGCATCTAAAATAAGAGCCCTATCTCTGTATAAACAGCTTGCACTTCTATTGCAGAAGAAAGGACAATACAGAAAAAAATAGACTTGTAAGGGACCTTGCAGATCTTCTAGTCCACGGGTGTCAAACTCGCCACGTGACGTGTCGCGACTTTTTTTTCGCATTGCCAGAGCTGTGGTGGGCGCGACCTCCGCATGATGCAACCCAAATACCCATGGGCCGGTATTTGACACCCCTGTTCTAGTCCAACCCCCTATGCAAGCAGGAGACCCTTTATCATTCTGGACAAATGGCTGTACAATCTCTTTATTGAAAACCTCCAGTGATAGAGCATCCACAACTTCTGAGGGCAAGCCATTCCCCTGATTGTTTTCACTGAGAGGAAATTTTTCCTTAATTCTCAGTTGTATCTCTCTTTGATAAGCTTCCATCTCTTACTTCTTGTCCTGCCCTCAGGTGCATTGGAGTGTAGTCAACCCCCTCCTCTCTATGACAGCCCCTCAAATAGTGGAAGAGTGATCATGTCACCCTAGTGACTGTCCTTCTCTTTGTTAGACTAAACATACCCAGTCCCTGCCATTATTCATCGTAGGTTTTAGCTTCCAGTCCCCTAATCATCTTTGTCGCTCTTCTCTACCCTCTTTCCAGAGTCTCAACATCTTTTTTGTATCACGGTGACCAAAACTGGATGCAGTATTCCAAGTGTGGTCTTTTGTTCTTGTTAATCGCGAAGTTGTGTCCGACCCATCGCGACCCCATGGACAACTTTCCTCCAGGCCTTCCTGTCCTCTACCATCTTCTGGAGTCCATTTAATCCATGAAGTCCTCCTTCATGGATTACTGCCTTGTCGTGGCGAAGGGGCTTGCGTAACTCAATGAAGCTATGAGCTATGCCGTTCAGGGCCACCCAAGATGGACAGGTCATAGCAGAGAGTTCTGACAAAATGTGATCCACTGGAGAAGGAAATGGCAAACCACTCCAGTATCTTTGCCATGAAAACCCCATGGACAGTACCAAAAGTGTGGTCTTACTAGTGCAATATAAAGCAGTATTTACACTTTCACATGGTCTTGTAGATGTGCCTACAGAATTGGAAGGGTACTTTGATAACAGCTTGGTGTATGCCAGATTTTGTTCCAAGTAAAATAGTTTTTATAACCTCAGTTGGCTATAATTTGTCAGAGATGCCTGCTATCAAAATAATGACTGCTAAACCAACTGGTTCCTCTTTTAGAAAAGAATTGAACCCAGACCTCAAATATTCTTAAAGTTAGAAACACTGATACTTAGTGTGAGTTCTAATTTCAGCACAGCACTTCGGGTTATGTCTAAATTTCAATGCAACCAGGTGCTTTTAATGGCAGATAGCAGTACTGAAATGTTTTAAGGACATCGATGACATAGTAAAAACAGAAGGAATTTAGCATGAATGCTGACTAATCCATTTCCACGGGTTTCCATTCGAAGTACTTAAACCATATGAATAGCCAGTCAGCAGTATAATATATTAAAATCGCTAAAATCTAATTTAACATTGGAGAGAATTATTTTATTTTGGTTGTGAGACATGCATGATTAAAAGCACACTCAGTTTTCATAGTGCCCATTTCCCTCTTGCTTTCTTGACACACCACAGTGAAATCCACAAGTCATCATTTATACTAATTAGCTAATTGGCAACATGATTGAAATGCAGAGTCCTAAGAAAGGAAGTGGGAAGGAATAACACAAGGTCAGAGCTGCTAAGGCACATATTTAGATATTGAAATGAAATACAGTCTCAATATCAGCGCCAAGTAGCTGACAAAGTGGACTTTATTTAGGATGGTTCCTCCCTTTTAAGTATCTACTTTGTAAGCTAAGTTTTCCACTCTGAGAGTAATGTTTTTAATTTTTCCAAGAGGAATGGCCTACACATTTACAAAGAAGGAAGAAAAAACCCTTTTTATGCCCAGCACTTGGTGTGTGAATTGGGCCAAAGATGTCAACTTAAGTCCCAAAGGTGCTTTTTCAAGAGGCAACTGGACTTTCTTTGTGTTTCCTTGAAGACACTTCGCTTCTCATCCAAGAAGCTTCTTCAGTTCTTCCAGAACTCTTCCAGAACTGAAGAAGCTTCTTGGTTGGGAAGTGAAATGCCTTCAAGAGAAAACAAAGAAAGTCCAGTTGTCTCTTGAAAAAGCATCTTTGGGACAACCAAGACCTAGATCAGGGGTAGTCAACCTTGGCTCTTTTATGACTCGTGGACTTCAACTCCCAGAATTCCTGAGCCAGCTAAGCTGGCTCAGGAATTCTGGGAATTGAAGTCCATGAGTCATAAAAGAGCCAAGATTGACTACCCCTGACCTAGATGATTGAGAATCTCCATAGACATGTCAACCTAACGTTGTCAACCCTCTGAGGTAAACCCAATCAGGAAAGAAGCCACAGGAGGACTGGAACTATACTTTGAGATTGGCTATAGTAACAGGATACTATGTCTACTGTTCCTTTTTATTCCTACTCCAGGGAGTCTGAGTATTTTTATAATATTTCCATGCTTCTCTAGGATCAATGCATGCTTCTGCCTCTGTTGTTATCTGAATGGCTTCTCCTGGGTCATTTCCATGGCTCCTCACACGCAAGACCTCCTATATGGGAACCTTCTTTAATTTTATCTCCATAACAACAACCATGTGAGGCCTGGCAAGTTGGTGTACAACTGGGTCAAAATCACCCAGTGAATTTCCCTGACAAAGGGTAGACTTGAACCCTTTGTTTTCCTAGTCCTTGCCCAATACCTTAATCACTATAGTATAGTGCAAGGGTCTTCAAACTTGGCCCTTTTATGACTTGTGGACTTCAACTCCCAGAATTCCTCAACCAGCGTGCCTGGCTGAGGAGTTCTGGGAGTTGAAGTCCACAGGTCATAAAAGGGCCAAGTTTGAAGACCCCTGGCATAGTGAGTCTCAATTACTCAGAACAAAATCCAATTGTGCTTAATGTAGCTTGCTTCCTAATAAGTAAACATAGGGTTGTCGCCCAAATGGGGAAGCAAATAACAAAGCATACAGAATTTGGATGCTGAACATCTTGCTAATATAATTAGTAGACGGATTAATTATTCATTAATTTCACATTCTGCAATTATAGAAGTTCTCGCCTTACTAATTTGGGCAATGATCTATGTTTAAAACTGATTGAACGGGCAATCCGGCATGATTATTAAACTTCCAGGTATGGTTCGGTTTGACTTAAAGCCAGGTAATTTGGAAATGTAAGCCCAATAAATACCTGATTATTTTATGTAATGAATGTGTACTTCTGTCTTGGGAGGCCCCCTGTTTTTGTAAACCCATGAAATAATCTCCTGAAAGACCTTCTAGATTAGTTTGCGGTACAAAAAGTAGTTTTATGCAGATTTGCTCAGTGCTGTAGCTTCCTTGAAGAATGCTCATTTCGTATAAAGCGTAGTCAAAAAATTTCAGATCAGATTGGCATGTCACCCTTAGCTATTGTTTGCCTGTGGGTAATTTATAGAATAAAGCCCAGGTGATTGGGTTTATATTCAAGGCTGACTCAGAAATCATGGTTGCGGTGGCTTCTTTCAGAGTAATAAACCAAGTTATTTTGTGGCTTGGCCCAGTGGATGCTTCCAATCCTAATAACTATGATGTGCTATTCGGGAATCGGCGACAGGTTGTCCTCGATTTGCGACCACAATTGAGCCCAAAATTTCCGTCGCTAAGTGAAACATTTGTTAAGTGAGTTGGCCCCATTTTACGATCTTTCTTGCCACACTTGTTAAGCAAATCACTGTAGTTGTTAAATTAGTCCAAACTGTTGTGAAGTGAATCTGGCTTCCCCCATTGACTTTTGCTTGTCAGAAGGTCGCAAAAGGGGATCGCGTGACCCCGGGGCACCGCAACTGTCATAAATATGAGTCAGTTGCCAAGCGTCTGAATTTTGATGATATGACCATGGGGATGCTACAGTGGTTGTGTGAAAACTGTTCATAAGTCATAATTTTACAGTGCCGTTGTAACTTTGGACGGTCATTAAACGAACTGTTGTAAGTTGAGGACTACCTGTACTTAGTGTGTGTTGTCCCTGTAACTGGCATTCTTACTCTTTCTTTTTAGCCAGGAAGAGTTACCGGTCCACGATCCAGCTTCTGACAAGGTAAGCAGCTCGTCTCCAATGTAGATAGCAATACATGTTTTAGAAGCATGTAGACCTGATTGGCGTGTGAAAGCAATCAGTATAAATTTACTTGGCATTGCGTGGCTAAGAATTGGACAACAAAAAAAGGTAACTTACTGATCATGCTAATGGAATGTCCGGCTAGCCTAGACCTCTTCTTTTATCCAAGATCTGAAGACGTTTGATACTGAATTTGGAATATTGGATTCTAATTTAGGCCAAGTCAGGATCACGAGTCTATGGAATTCATCGTTGCCAGCCTTCTGCACCCTGTGGAAATTTATTGATTTACATAATCTTCAAAATTCTGACCTTAGCACGTCTTGAGACGTTGGGTAGTCAAAATCTCAACGTTACGAAGGAATTAATTTGAGAGCCCTGGTTTATCTGAATGGTCAGCCAACATACAAAAATGGCTGGGTACTGAAATGGCTTGGCTGAACCTACCTGTAAAAAAATATTGTAGGGATAAGATCATTTTTTGAAAATATTCCGGCATTTGGGGGAGAAAATGGTTTGGCAAGAGTTGGTACAGTCCAATGGCTCTCTGACTCTCTGCCGAAATAATTTTGCTCTGACCGATGAAGTTGCTTGGATGAGCAGCGAAATGTCTCAGATTAAAAAAAAAAAAAAAAGTTTGGTCCAGTTCCCAGGATTCAACTTTTGACACCTTTAGCCTGGATGATGGGAGTCTTCATTGACATATTCTGGCAATAGGACAACTTTTCCTGGAAGGTAATGGGGAATGTAGTCCAGCACTTTAGAGCAGGGGTGTCAGACTCGCCACGTCACATGACGTGTCGCGATGTATCGTGACTTTTTTTCCATTGCTGGCAATGGGGTGGGCGCGGTTTCGCCATGACGCATCCGGCCTGCGGGCCGGCAGTTTGACACCCCTGCTTTAGAGCATCATGTTGAAGAAGGACGAGTTGCAGGAAGCCACAGGGATGGTTGCAGCTTCTTCCATATAGAAATATCCTACTCCTCAATTTTTTTATAAGTAGCATCCCTATGAATGACCAATTGTGGTTGCCAAGCACCACTTTGCAATTTTCTTCCATATAGCACTGAGTGTGGGGAATGTTAGTATTTCTGAATTGGTTCTAAGAGGACTTCTGTCTAGTGATTGCCTTTAACTCTCTTAATTGAAATTCCCCATTCATAAAGCTGGTTAACCTCAGTCCCAGTTGGCCTACATTAAACAAGGCTAATCTAGATGTAGGCCAGTGTTTTTCAAGCTTGGCAAGTTTAAGATGTGTGTGTGTGTGGACTTCAGCTCCCAGAATTCCCCAGCCAGCCTGGTGGATTGAGGAGTTCTAGGAGATGGTCCATGTACCTTAAACTTGCTAAGTTTAAGAAACACTGAACTAGTCAGATGGCTGCACTATCAGGCTTTTCTTCTTTGTAAAATGCAACGATGAATATGGATCTCTGTTAAAGAAAATTATTGCTCTCCTTAATTGAATGCATTCCTTCCTGTCAATTTATAGTCTTCCTTGCTGGAATAAACATTGTTTTTTCGACCAGTAGTTAATATTTGAGAAAGGAGATAATTGAGAGGGGATGGTCGTCATTTGAACTGCTGCCTCTGTTTTAAAATGTTGAAATGCCAGATGTTATTGTGCTCAATTACCGGCTAATATGCTGTGACTGTAATTATGCAGTGGAGTGTTGCCAAGTTAGAGTCAGAGGGATGAATGAGGTTGTCAGCAAGTGGTATTTGCAAAGTAATTCAGCAAACTGAGCAATCAGAGCATCTTTTATACATTTGACACTCTGAGGAAAAGTCAAAGAGGTTATATAACCCAAACTCTGTAGACAGGATTGAGTGCTGTCTAATTCTAGTCCATTGAAGCTTTCTCTCAGAGAAAAAAAAGTTTGCTTACTATTTAGAAAAATAAGGACTTTATTATTCCATATTCAATTGTCTAATGCAGACATGTCAAACACAAGGCCCGGGGCCCAGATGCGGCCCGCAAAGTGGTTTCATGTGGCCCGCGAAGTCAGTGAGGGAACGGCCCCCGCTGCCTTGGCCCTGGCCCAGGCCGGCCGGGAGCCAATGTACAATTTTGTGGTGGCCATCTATGCTGAAATGTATTCAGTCTTAGCTCCATAAGCCTCCCCCCGCATGGCCTGAGAGGAACTGTGAGGTTCCTCCAGTGGACCATGCCTTGGCGCTTGCCCCGGTCCCACCCCCTTCTGCGAGAGACCCTTAGATCTATCCCACTCCTGCCCAGGCCCCCACAGGCACCCTTGACGCAAACGACGTAGAGCTGGCCATGCCCACCCAGTAGGCCACACCCACTCCATCCATACACACCCAGTAGGCCGCACCCACCCTGGCCACACCCACCCGGCCCCCTGAGGGCGGCCCTCAATGAAATTGAGTTTTACAGCCCTGGTCTAATGAATGACTACAGAAGCCAGAGCCAATTTGGTTGAGTGGTTAAATCACCAGGCTAGAAACCAGGAGGCTGTGAATTCTAGTCCTGCTTTAGCCATGAAAGTTGGCTGGATGACTTTGGGCCAGTCACCAGGAGACTGTGAGTTCTAGTTTCGCCTTAGGAATGAAAGCTAGCTGGACGACTTTGGGCCAATCCCTCTCCCTCAGCCCAACTCACCTCATAGAGTGGTGACTGTGGGGAAAATAGGAGAAGGAAGGAACAGTGTGTGTGTTCGCCGCTTTGAGTTACTTATAAAAATAACAAAGGCAGGACATAAAATAAAAACACAGAATATTTATTTATTTATTTATTAATTGTATTTATATCCCGCCCTTCTCCTTTCGGACTCAGGGCGGCTCAGAATCATCGCGCAATTGTTACCTGAAACATCACTGTAATAAAAGTATGATTCTTTTCCTGGAAAGATGCAACGGCACACGCATTGCTTAAGGTTTTTAGGGAGGTTATTTTTGTAATTCTTTAGTAAATTACAGGCTTGTTTGGGAAAAAAACATTGCCACACACCAGTTTCTGAAGAGAGTCTGTAATTCCTGCTTGTTACTTACAGTTTGGCTAGGAGCCCTTTGTAGTTTAAGCACCTGCCTAACAAGCATCCACTCTTTTTCAGCTTATTTCATTTTTATCCATCACGCCCTTCGCACCATTATGCAAAGTGCAGAAAAGATGTAAGGATGAATAAACCACAGAAGTTAGGGATATGTGGTGAGGGAAAAAAATACAGCAAAACTTAGTTTGGCCAATCTCAACCACCCATTCTGGCTTTGCTCAGGGGAGACTTTTAGGAAGATGTAGTAGCAGTTGGGTGGCCCACCAGCCTTAACCACTTCCATGCCACAGACACATTCCCTGATAATAGCTAGGAGGCAATTGGTTAGTTTTGTGTACTGTATTGTGACCAGTATAGTCAAAACAGCCCACATACACTACCCAAATCCAGTTGTACCACAAGGGCCACTTCATCACAACCAAGAGGTTCAAATGCTTCTAATTGCAATCCGTCACATTGTACTTAATGATCAAGAGGATATATAAACAGGGAGTTCTCCTTAACAGAATAGAAAGTTGCTAGAAAACTGTAGGGTTTCTGGGGAGACTTCTACAACTTTGCAAATGATTGTGTTGCATAGACCTTGTTATTACCAACTACGATGAGCAGGCTTTCCACAGTCATTTCTCAACAGGAGAACAGATCATCGTGCACACTGTAGTTTTGAGTTTATTGAAGTGTTGTGAAGTGCTCTAAAATTACGATAATGATGTCCTTCTTGCCACAGTCATTCCTCAGTATCTCTTAACCGACAGTCCTAGCTCTACCAGAATATTTAAACTAAATTACACATCTCAAAGGGGTGCGGCCGAAGAGCTCCCATCATTTTCATTTTTGCTTTCTATTGGCACGGCTAGAATCTAGAAATTATTGCATGGATGTTTGTGCACAAAGCCTTAAATTATCAAGCTGTTTACTTGAAAGGATATTTCCGAAATTGGCAGGCTTCAAGGAGAAGTGTCTCCAAACGCAATCATATTTATTTGAATTGTTAGGTCCTAATGTATAAAATGATGCTCTTGAGAGAGCTGTGTCTAGCAGACCCACTTCTCCAAAAGACACTTGCAGGAATCTTCAATCTTTGGCTGACGTACACGGGAAAAGTGGTGAGAAAAAGCCCATTGGTTGGGTTCCACTGCTTAAAACAGTGTTTTTCAACCTTGGCAACTTTCAGATGTGCAGACTGGCTGGGGAATTCTGGGAGTTGAAGTCCATCCATCTTAAAGTTTCTAAGGTTGTAAAACGCTGGCTTAAACATTAAGAATCTCTTACCTGGGCTGCAAGAATACAGGTAGTCCTCAACTTACAACCACAATGGAGCCCAAAATTTCCGTTGCTAAGCGGGACAATTGTTAAATGAGTTTTAACCCGTTTTACAACCATTCTTGCCATGGTGGTTAAGTGAATCACCGCATTTGTTAAGGGAATCTGGCTGTCCCATTGATTTTGCTTGTCAGAAAGTCACAAAAGGTGATCACATGACCCTGGGACACCGCAACTGTCCTAAATACGTGCCAGTTGCCAAGCATCAGAATTTTGATCAGTAACCACTTGGACGCTGCAATGGTTGTAAGTGTGAAAAACGGTCATGTCACTTTTTTTCAGTGCTGTTGTAACTTTGAAGAGTCATTAAACAAAAGGTTGTAAGTTGAGGATTCCCTGTATTTAATAGATGGCAGCACAAAACGTTTTCAATAGCTCTTTCCTGGTCCATCAAGTGTCCTTGAGTTTACTGCCAATCCTTTGTTCTGGAAATCAGTGGCTGAACAACCGGTTCCTGGAAGCATACAAGTGATAATACAGGTAGCAGTGTGAGTACTATCAATAGAAAAGCAATAGTGAAAAGGTCTTTCTGTGCTAAGTGGAGCCTTAATCTCTCACAAGCAGCTTCAAAAAAGGTGATGACAATCTAAAAATAGAACTTTGTTAGACTGCAGATCCACTTGCACCTATCCCTTAATACCCAGAGACTTTTGTTGGGGAAACCCAGCCGATTTCTTGGAATTATAAGTATTATTGCCCAGGGTACAGAATATAGTCCAACTGTTAAAAGTATATTTAATTTTAGTTAAATTCTTTTGCACAAAATCTGGTTTAAAAAAGCCTTTCATATAGCGTGGATAGTAACACACACATAAATTCAGCTATAACTATTTCCTCATTTGTTGAAAATTGCGGACTCCTGTGCTCTTTTAAGACAAAAACTTAGGAGGCGTCTGTTCAGTTGACTGGGCCTTCCATTTGATTTAAAATACTTGCTAGTGATTTCAGGCTGTTAAACACATCACAGTGTCTGTCCCTAGATGCTTATAAATGTTGAAAAAGAATCCTTGAGGAGTATTTGAAGTGGAGAGAATAATGGCCTCTGGTTTTATTTCAGCAAAAGCAGCTTGAGATTGAAAGAACTACAAAATGGTTGAAGATGCTAAAAAGCTGGGAGAAATACAAGAACACAGATAAGGTAAAGTTGAGTGTTTCCTTCAGCAACTGTATTTACTAAATGCAAAAGTACAAATTGGGTGCTATAGCCTTGGCCTGCTGTTTTTATTTGTTATAAGAACGAAGTACAAAAAAGGTGGCTTTCAGAATTTCTGAACTATCAGTATTTCAGAAATGTTGGTGTAGCAGTGGAAAAACCCATCTCCTTGTGACCTCACGTTTGGATTACTGCAATGTCCTCTACATGGTGCTGTCCTTGAAGAGCATTCAGAAGCTTCAACTAGTACAGAATGTGGTTGTATGGATAGTAAATACACATACAACATCACTGGTATGTGAAGTGCATTGGTTGTAAGTGTGTTCCCGGGTGCAATTCAAGGTGCTGGTTGTCACCTTTGAAGCCCTTCATGGCTTGAGATTGGGTTACCTCAGGGACCATCTCCTCCCAGTTGTTTCCACCCATCTGACTGGGTTGGACATGCTACAAGTCCTGTCACCCAAGAAATGTCAGTTGGTGGAGACTAGATGATGTTCCTTCTCAGCTATAGCACCTACCTTCCAGAAGATTCTCCCTTCAGAGATGACACTGGCCTTGGCATGTTGGTCTTTTGTAAGGTGGAAGAAATGGAGGTAGTGACAGATTTTATCTTCCTGGGCTCCAAGATCACCACAGATGGGGACTGCAGCCAAGAAATTAAAAGACACTTGCTCCTGGGGAGGAAAGCTATGCCAAATCTAGACAGCATACTAAAAAGCAGAGACATCACTCTGCCAACAAAAGTACGTATAGTCAAGGCCATAGTTTTCCCAGTTGCAATGTATGAGTTTGAAAGTTGGACCATCAGAAAGGCTGAGCGCCAAAGAATTGAGGCCTTTGAACTATGGTGCTGGAGAAGACTCCTGCGAGTCCCCTGGACTGCAAGGCGATCAAACCGGTCAGTCCTAGAGGAGATCAACCCTGACTGCTCTTTAGAAGGCCAGATCCTGAAGTGGAAACTCAAGTACTTTGGCCACCTAATGAGAAGGAAGGACTCACTGGAGAAGAGCCTGATGCTGGGAAAGATGGAGGGCAAGAGAAGAAGGGGACAACAGAGAATGAGGTGGCTGGATGGAGTCACTGAAGCAGTAGGCGGGAGCTTCAATGGACTCCAGAAGATGGCAGAGGACAGGAAGGCCTGGAGGAACGTTGTCCATGGGGTCGCGATGGGTGGGACACGACTTCGCAACTAACAACAACAAGGTGGAGAAGAATTAGTTATGTGCCCGGATCTGGAGCCTTGAGTGTGTTATTTGGTTATAATTTTCTTAGTATATATAATTTTGATTTCTTGATTCTTCTCTTTCTCTTCTCTTTCTCTTCTCTTTCTCTTCTCTTCTCTTCTCTTCTCTTCTCTTCTCTTCTCTTCTCTTCTCTTCTCTTCTCTTCTCTTCTCTTCTCTTCTCTTCTCTTCTCTTCTCTCCTCTCCTCTCCTCTCCTCTCCTCTCCTCCATTCCTCTTCCCCCTCCTCCCCTTCCCTCCCCCCTTCTCTCCTTCCCTTCTCTCCCTTCTCCTCTCCTCCTCTCCTTTCCTCTCCTTTCCCCTCCCCTTTCCTCTCTCTCTCCACCCTGAGTCATTTGAGATGGGCGGCTGTTGGAAATTGAATAAATAAACAAAGACTTTTTAAAAACTCTCTTACAAAATCCATCTGCTTCCTTTCTTTCATTGGAGAAGCTGCTCATCCCTGACCCTCATAAAGGCTCAGGTGTTTCTTTGAAAAATGCCATCATTTGGCCAATATTTAACAGGAGAGAGCTATAATCTCACCTCCCCTTGGTAATTTATTTTGTGGGGAGGAAGGGTGGGGCATTTTGAGTCGGCATCCTGCTACCCATCGGTGCTGTGTTGGTGACATTGCTTTACTCCAAGCTTGCTTTAAACTCTTTCCCTTTCCTTTCCATTTTATGACCTACAAAAATGTACTTCTGAATATTATAAAAAACGACATTTGCTGCAGTGAAGCTGTTATAAACTTACTAAGGCACAGAGAGTTGTTTTTTTATCCCCTTGAAGCAATTCCTGACACAATTTCTATATATATGTGGCCATATAGTTCAATATTACTTTAAGGGGAAAAAAATGTGCTAACTTGATTCTGTGCCGTTGGATGTAATTTTCAGCTAGCCAGAGGGAGCATTAAGACTGGTGCCGATATGATGCTCATCACTGCTTCCAAAAAAGAAGAGCATAATCTGTACACAGGGGAGATGGAGCACACAATTCTTTTCATGCGCTTACTTGCAACTAAACAAATCATCATATCTTCACTAGGACTTAAGTGCAGGCAAAGAGAGTAAGCTGGTTTCCCATCTTGATTCAGATCTGATCTCTCTTTATGAAAAGCCACTGGACCTCTTCATATGACCGCGGAGATTGATGTGTGTGTCTGATCCTAGAATTAAATTAGGAATGCTCCAGAATGAAAATCTAATTCCTCCTTGTTTCCATGATACCAGCCTGTGGTTTGATGAATGCTGAATCATGGCTTAGTGATAAGATAAACAAGTACAATTTTTGTTATAATCCCCTTTCTTCTTCTCAAGGATTGCTTCTATGGTAGTTTTCTCTTTTGAACTATCAGAATTTGAAACAGATAGCAAAGATGAAAGTGAATATTTTAAATGATAGCTTCTTTAGCAAGACAGGTTCTCATTTTTTGATAGCAGAATCTCAGGCTGTTGAAGGACTGTTAAATGTTAGGAGATTCATACCTCCTGAAAAGTACTTTAAAAATATCCTTTGTTCACCTAAAACAGCTAGAGAATGTTAAGTCAGAGAAATTTAAGAAGGGATTTAACTGATCTCCTTAAGATTATCTTTATTAACACTGGTAAATGTTATTTTTAATTTTTTGTTTTTAAATTTTGTGAGCTTTTATTTTTAATTTGGTGTTTTCATCAATGTATTCAGAAGGTCTTTTCTGGAATTCTTTGCCTAAGCGAATCAGAACATGCATTAAATGGACATTCTTTACTTAAAGTTGTATTAATGCGAGTCAAGAGTTGCATAACACAGAGGCTGTGTGGTTTTTTTTACTAAAACGTGGTGCTGGAGAAATCATTAATAATGAAATTAATAGTGTAAGATGGGGGGGGAAGTCTTGATTTTCAGGAAGTGCAGATGTTTCTGTATAAGTGTCTTAAACTTTTTAGCTAAAGAAAGTAGCAGATATAACACTAGTCAAAGGAGTGAGTTAAGGAAGCAGATAGATAGAGTGACAGAGTCAGGCTGTCACAGAGAAGAGAGGAAGTCAGCCTATTTTCCAAAAAGCACCTGCGGGCAGGACAAGAAATATTGGATGTGTCAGGAAATTGTGCAGCAGCTGTCCAGATGAAGTCAGAGACACTGACACCAAATTGTACTTTTATATAGATAAATATATATAACATTTATTTTACAGCAGACAAGATAGTCAGGAACATCATGAGGTAAAATCAAAAACAGCACACAGAGCAAATGGCAGAAAAAGGCGGGAAAAAAGGGAAACTCCCCCTTTATACCCACAGCAACCAATCACGGTGTAGATTGCCTCATGCAGGAGCCCGCACTCTCCAATCAATCAACTCCGACTGTGTGTTCTGGCCCATTGTACAATTTTACTGTTCCAGCTACTAAATTCAATACCCTAAAACAGAGGTCTTCAAACTTGGCTACTTTAAGACTTGTGGACTTCAACTCCCAGAATTCCTCAGCCAGCCAGGGCTGGCTGAGGAATTCTGGGAGTTGAAGTCCACAAGTCTTAAAGTTGCCAAGTTTGAAGACCCCTGCCCTAAAAGGATGGAAACTTACTAAAAAGGGATCTGGCCTAGAATTAAGGAGAAATGATCTGAAGTGAGAACAACTAATCAGTGGAATAACTTGTCCCTGAAACTGTGGGTGCTCCTTCACTGGAGGTTTTCAAGAAGAGGTTGTCAACCATTTGTCCAGAATGGTATAGAGCAGACCTGGGCATTTTATGGCCCCTGGGCCACATCTGGTCCTTTGGCCGTCTCTGTCCAGCACCTGTAGATTGCTTTTATTTTGAAGACGACTCCTTTTTTTAAAAAAAAAATACATATATGTGTTGGGCATGCCTACGCACCTTCACAGCCTATTGGTTAGGCCCTCCACAACAATCCCAGTTTCTCATGTGGCCCCTTGGGAAAATTAATTGCCCATCCCTGGTATAATGTCTCCTGCTTGAGCTGGTGGTTGGACTAAAAGACCTCCAAGGACCCTTTCAACATTATTTTATGTTCTATGTTCTAAATGATTTCTAGTAGGCACCTTTACTTACAACAGTTTGTTTAGTGACCGTTGAAAATTACAATAGCACTGAAAAAAGTGACCTATGACCGTTTTTCATATTTATGACCCTTGCAGCATCCCCATGGTTACATGATCAAAATTCAGATGCTTGGCAACTGGCTCATATTTATGACGGTTGCGGTGTCCTGGGGTCGTGTGATCAGCTTTTGCGACCTTCTCACAAGCCAAATCAACGGGGAAGTCAGATTTACTTAACACAACCATGTTACTAACTTAACAACTGCAGGCATTCACTTAACTGTGGCAAGAAAGGTCATGAAATGGGGAAAAACTCACTTAACAAATGTCTCACCTAACAACATAAATTTTGGGCTCAATTGTGGTCGTATGTTGAGGACTACCTGTACCTCCTGGTATTGCAATAGCAATCACGTAATAATTTCACTCCAATTTACTTCTGTACCTGTTAATTACATTTGCTTTTCTTTTTTGGGCACAGTTTCATAGAAGAATCTATAAAGGGATTCCATTGCAGTTGAGGGGTGAAATCTGGTCCCTGTTGCTCGACGTCCCAAAAATGAAAGAAGAAATGAGAGGTTATTATAATGTGAGTTTCCAAGCCAGCAAGTGAAACACAGAGCTTTTATTTTATTTAATGCAGCAAATAGTAAATGCGATATAATTAAGAGCGATAAATGCCATTCTTTCCAAGTTTTTAATCTTTTTTTTTCTTGAAAAGTACTCAATAATATGAACCCTAAATCAGAATTATCCACTAGGCAAGAGCCTTGGTACAACTACAATTTAATTTCTTAGGCCTGAAGATTTGTTTAGCTTTTTTTTTCATTTTCCTATTGAAAAGATTTCAGATTTCAGTATTGCTTATAGATGTTTATGCTATGCTCAGAACCAGTACAGTTTCTCAGGCCTCATTCTTTTCATAAGATTTCCTCTTACCTGCCCTGGTTTATTGTTTGTTTTGTGTGTGTGCAATGCCATACAGAGTCACATTGTTTGAATTGGATGGCCCTCACAGATCTAGTTAATAAAACAGATAAGTAAATGTTGTGCCCTAAGAAACAGTCTTGTGTCAGGTTTGATCTGCTTTTTAAATTCTCTTTTGGATGTTGCATTTAGGTTTATGCATTTTACAGTTTTAAATTTTTACTTTTCAACTTTCAAATTTTTACTTCTTCAACTTCCAGAGACGTTTTGAATTCAGAGGGTGGAAAACATAAGAGTGAAATATTCATCTGCTACTGTTTTGATTAGGGAATTAATAATTACATTTAAACCTGCCAGAGACTCAAAATACCTATTTCCTTTTACTTCCAGAGAAAATTGGCAGAAATTCTGCTGTGAAAAAATTGTAATTTGGGGCAGATACTTAGCTTGTGGACCAAAACTTACATATGATGCTTCCAATAGAAGAGAATATTAGTTGTTCAGGGATATCTGTGTTGGAGAAGAGTAGATAGATAGATAGATAGATAGATAGATAGATAGATAGATAGATAGATAGATAGATAGATAGATAGATAGATAGATAGATAGATAGATAGATAGATAGATGATAGATAGATAGATAGATAGATAGATAGATAGAGAAGAGAAGAGAAGAGAAGAGAAGAGAAGAGAAGAGAAGAGAAGAGAAGAGAAGATTAGTTGCTCAGGGTTATCAAGGTTATCTGCTGCGAACTCTGTGTGGCATCAGGAAGGACCTCTAGCCAGTAAATGCTGAGTTCCAGTCACCCCAACTCTATTTCGAATTAAGGGATTACAGTGTCATAAAAAGGGAGTTTTATAGTACCTCAAAGTTGAACTATGGCAGACATGTCAAACACAAGGCTTGGGGGCCGGATGCGGCCCGCGAAGTGGTTTCATGTGGCCCGTGAAGCCATCCTGGAAACAGTGAGGGAACGGCCCCCTCTGCCTTGGCCCTGGCCCAGGCCAGCCAGGAGCCAATGTACAATTTTGTGGTGGCCATCTATGCTGAAACGCATTCAGTCTTAGCTCCATAAGCCCCCCCCCGCATGGCCTGAGAGGAACAGTGAGGCTCCTCCAGTGGACCATGCCTTGGCACTTGCCCCAGTCCCACCCTCTTCTGCCAGAGACCCTCAGATCTGTCCCACTCCTGCCCAGGCCCCCACAGGCACCCTTGATGCTAACGATATAGAGCTGGCCACACCCACCCAGTAGGCCACACCCACTCCATCCACGTCCACTCCGTAGGCCGCACCCACCCTGGCCACACCCACCCAGCCCCCTGAGGGCAACCGCAATGCTGATGCGGCCCTCAATGAAATTGAGTTTGACACCCCTGAACTATGGGGTCGTTGGTGCTGTATGAGTGAGCTTGGCGGTTTCCTTGCAACCCCACAGTTACATATAATGCTTTTCCTAAACGGATGTCCTGTGAGACTGTAGCTCTCAGAATTTCTTAGCGCATGACCTCTAGAATTCTGGAAGTCCTTAAACTTCTGGATGGATTCTCCAAAACGTAGAATCTTCTGCAACATGCAAACAATTCAGAAGCAGCTGCTTCTCTGAACTCATGCCACCTTTGACTTTACACAGCATTCACTGATGGATAGAGCAAATTTAAGATGTTCCTTTCATTCCTTTCACCAGGAGAAGGCTGGATCAGACCAAAATGTTCTGTAGATCAAGATTCCTTGTCATGGTTCCTCCCAGATGTAAATATGGAAGCCAGCGGAAGAACATGAAATGAATATAATACCCTTTTTTCACGTGAATTTCCCAGAGGGATATTCACTGTGTTTGGCTGCTTGTGTTTGAAATCCTGTCTCTTGTTGGGATAAGATATTTTGTAAAGGAGAAAATCTGTTATGCTTCCCTCAGCCCAAACAGAATAGATTTACCATCTTTGTAAGAATGGAAGGTCATCAAAAAGGATGATAAGCTACCATGAGTTATGAAGTCTTAGTGTACATACATTTGTTGATTGTTTCTCTCTTTGTCCCCCCCCCCCCCCAGACTTTAAAAACGCAAGCAAGAGGAACATCTCCAGATATCCGGCAAATTGATCTTGATGTTAATCGGACCTATCGGGATCACATCATGTTCAGAGATAGATATGGAGTAAAGTGAGTGACGCTAAATCAGCTCCTTTCATGTGTACCTTGTTGCTTTTTATTTTCTAGAACTTCAAGAGATTTAATTTATATACAAGTGCAGCAAAATTTTGAGTCCTGTCTTCCAAAAAAAAAACCTTCCTCCCATCCCCTTGAGCTTGGTGGTTTTCTTGCAGATGTTTGTGGACTGATGCTGTTACCTAGTTGGGTAATGAAATGTCTGCAAGAAAAGCACCAAGCTCAGAGAGTACCAAGGACCTCATATTTCAACCCTGAAATACAAATATTCTCTTATTTTGGTATTGTCTCTTTGCCATGGGAGATCTGGACCCCAAAACACATGTGATGCTCTGAAATTCAAAGCAGAATCATGCTCTTCTGCATTTAACAGGCTGGAAAAGCCTATTAGGAAAAGCATCATTAGCAAGATATCTAGAAAAGAGTTTTAAGTTTTTAAAATAGTAACATTTTAACATTGAACATTGAAACAGAGGCATATTTTCCCATGTTAAATCCTGAATGCTGCATTTGGTTTTGAAACGGTACAAGAAAATTTTAAAAAGCTGTCACCCTGCATTTTAAAAATGCCAGAAAGAAACACTAAACTATCTTGGATGAAAGTGTTCCAAAATTGCCAAATTCAGTTACCTGCTTGGATTACCTTTCAAAGAATCCCTTACATTAATCCAAAGCTGATATTTGGTAATCTCCCATAGTTATATAGATCCATGTGAAGAAAAATCAATACTTCTTTCAGTACTTTTTTTTAGCTTAAATATATTTGGAAATTATGAAAGCCAGTTACACTTTTTTATGAGTCGGTTTCAGATGCAATAGGCTTACAGTGCTCCAGATTCACAACAAGAGTTTTGAGTTGTAGATCTGAAGCACCAGAAGGGCACCAGATTGCAAATGGCTTCTTAAGTATTACAGTCAACTTGGGTTTACTACGGTATGAAGTATTGCCTAAGCTCCCTTTTTGCAAAACTGAAAGAACAAAATTATTGTTTAGTTAGTCGTGAGAGTATTCAAAGAATGTTTTGGATTGTGATTATTTTAGACAGTTGTACTCCCCCTCTTTGAGAAACGAGCAGATTAAATTGCAAATTAGTTTTTTTTTTTTTAGAAAAACCATTTTCTAACCTCAGGAGAATTATCAGAATAGTTAGTAAAATAGCATCATGGAAAATAAAATGTCAGTAATTCCACTGAGCATTATCCAAGCTCTTAGCTATATCTAAATTGCCTGTTCTAATTTTTGAACATGATTTTTCCTTGAGTTTGAGATGATTCAGATGAAATACTGTGTCAAAGGTTAGCATTACAACCTTCTATGACTAAAGCTGTGTGCGAAGCTCATGGTTTTTTTTGTTTTGTTTTTTTAATAAATTAAATTTTCCCTGGTTGGTTTGTTTAGAAAATTTCTGTTTGAATGGCTTAATACAGTAAACAAGACAAGAACAACAGTGATCAAACCAACAGATTGATAATCGGCAACAAGAGATGTAATAACTTGAGAAAATGTTCATAATAAAACCCGTCAGATAGCTCTCATGACTTGGAGATAACAATAACATTTATTCCCCAAAGGCACTGGAAGAGCTTTGTGGGAGCTTCTCCTGATGATTAACAGGAGAAGAGCCACTCTAACTTTCAAGGGACAGAGTGTTCCAGAAGGAGGGGACCATCAAAAAGATGTTTCCATGTCCCCCAGTTATAGGTAGTCCTCGACTTGTAACTGGCAGTTAAAGAGGATCGCTAAAATGGGACTTATGATCTGAATTCGAAGTTCTAACATCTGCACACCCACCCACAGGCACATGACCACATTTTAAGCTGCTTGACCGATTTTGCAACCGTTTGTAGCGTTGTAGTGATTACACCAGGGGTAGGCAACCTTGGCTCTTTTATGACTCGTGGACTTCAGCTCCCAGAATTCCTGAGCCAACATGGCTAAGCATGGAAACCTCTCCCTTTCCCCTCAACATGGCTGGCTCAGGAATTCTGGGAGTTGAAGTCCACGAGTCATAAAAGAGCCAAGGTTGCCTACCCCTGGATTACACAATCACAACTTACGCTTTTGCTGGAAACTGGCGTTGACTTCCAGTGTCTGTCAAAACCCGTCCCATAATGAACAATGTATTCGCTTAACGACCGTGGCACTTGCTTTATGACTGCTGGAAAAAAAAGATTGTAAAATCAGGCCCAGTCACATTGCGACTTGCTTTACAACCATCACGACCTATAACCATAATTGCGGGGCTCAGTTACATCCATAACTCGAAAGCTACCTGTACTGTTTCCTCTTCGGTGGGTGCCTCTCTTAGACTGCAGAAAGTTTAGAAGATGGCATGTTTTCTCTGCAAAAATGTCTATACATTTTGTCAGGATGATGATGACGACGACGATGATGTCAAAATTTCAACCTCAGATGTTGTCACATAGCCAGAGTGACTATCTGTGCACAAAAGAGGAAGGGATTCTGTGGTAAGGATAAGGAAACCAAGTCAGTAAATAGGAAAAAAAGTCAAAACAAATTTGGTCTAGTGCAGGGGTAGGCAACCTTGGCTCAGGAATTCTGGGAGTTGAAGTCCACGAGTCATAAAAGAGCCAAGGTTGCCTACTCCTGGTCTAGTGGTTAAGGCACCAGGCTAGAAAGTAGGAAACCATGAGTTCAACTCCTGCCTTAAGCATGAGAACCAGCTGAGTGACCTTTAGCCAATCACCAGGAGATGGTGAGTTCTAGTCCCACCTGACAGCCAACTGAGTGACCTTGAGCCAGTCACCAGGAAAGGGTGAGTTCTAGTCCTGCCTTAGACATCAAATCCAGCTGTGTGACTTTGGGCCAGTCACACTCTCTCAGTCCAGTTCACCTCAAAGAATTGTGGGGAAAATAGGGAGAGGAAGGTGTGTTGGATATATTTGCTGCCTTGAGTTAATTGTAAAAAATAATAAACACAGGGTAAAAAATAAAGTTGTGAGGATTCAGCATGTTCTCTGGACCCAGAATGCAGACTGGGGCTAAAATGAAGGTGTGAGTGAATGGAAGGGCAAGCTAGAAACAGGTACCCCAGGTGTCCAGGTTTCATCGAATTTTTACAAAATACAATATTACATTTTGTAACATGAATGTTCCTCCGCAACAGTCCCTTTCCTTCAACGCTCAGTTTCTTTGGTTATAACAGAGCTCTTTTCCAGATAGGCAACACCTTGCGTGGTCTTCCCCCCCCCCCTTAAAAGAGAGCTTTTGTAAGTATTTTACCATATAATAATGGAACACTGGTGTACTTGCTTTTATCACTCATACACATACATAATAGATAGATAGCCGATCTTTGTAAATAAATAGTAGGCTGCTTTCAGTGTTCAGTTAAGCAGAAAGGCAACCCAGAAGTCAATAAGGAGTATCAGCTTTTCTTGCGATAAGCAGAGAGAACTGCTTTGAAACAAAATCTTCCTCTGTGTGTGTGTGTGTGTGTGTGTGTGTGTACACCTTATGAAAACAATTGGTCGATGCTCTTAAACATCGGTAGAATCACGTGTGGCCTTCTCACAAGACTTTGAAGCATAGGCAGCAGGGCCAATGAAGTGCTGGGCAGCCCAAAGGACAGAAAAGGGAAGGGAGATATTTGAGTGAGGGGAGTTGAAAAGGAGGCTTAGGATTGGGAGGAAGAAAGCTGTTAGATGCAAAGAATCAGAGCCATCTGTTAGGTTTCAGTATTTACTCAAGCTTATATACAAGAATCTGGTCAACTGAAATTCAACACTAACCAGATAAGGGTCAACGGAATTCAAGAGGGGGTGGACTTGTGGGAATGTAACGATTCCAGGTTGATGACTTGCTTAACTCCACCCCCAGCTCTGCCTGCCCTTCTCCTACAGAATGGCTTGGATCTGGGTAGGTCCTCACATAACAGGTAGGATTTGAGTGGGGTTCTGTTAATGACCACCATCAGGACTGTCACCAAGCAAAGTCATTACATGCCATAGTGCCTCGTCACCTAGCAACGGAAATTCGGGTCCCAATTACTGTCGTTAACCAAGGAGTATCTGTAACTAAGTATCATATGCACAATGATGATACTTAACTGCACATGGCAGAGAACCCCACTCTGCAGCTTCATGTGAATGTTAAGTAGGAACAGAAAGACTATAAAATTATGAGGAACTCCACAAAGTAGGATCTAGATCTAGATCTTTTCCCAGTAAGAGGACAGGACTCACTTTATTCCCTCTGTCTTAAAGTGCATTAAATTTTGCAATATACTGTACCTGAGAGATGCTTATCACTGGGCAGGGTTATACAGATATACAAAATAGGACTGATATGAAATTAAGCCAGCAACATTTTAAATCGCAAGGTTTAAATCGCAAGGTTTCCTGTAAGGTGGCTCCAAAACACATTTTGATTTTGTATAGTTACTTTCTGTCTTTTTTCCCCCCTAGGCAACAATCTTTGTTCCATGTCTTAGCTGCCTATTCTGTATATAATACGGTAAGATGCTCCGTGCATGCTTCTCTGCATCTATACGCCGTCAGTTACATAGGTCATTCTTAAGCGATGTTGAATTTCATGGAAATAGAATTCTCAAGGTCAACATGAAAACAGTGACTTTGAATAGGCATAATTCTGTATTGGATGGTTTGGCCCAACCAGGTGTAAAAGAAAATATTTCTGATTCTTGGCCAGATGCTATCAAAGCTTGTTTTGCAAATGCTTGCCTGGAACCATTAAGATCAGAAACTGTAAAAACATTGGTGAATAAGCTCACTCGGCTAATAAAATGCTACATTTTAAGCTTAATAAATTTTAGCAGCGTTATTGAGCTGGGTCACAAAGAAGAAACAGTTGTGGAATTCTGGAACAGAAAGTTACAAATGTTCCTGAAAAGACGACAAGTGTTTTCCTTCTTACCGCTGGTATGAAAAATTGAAGAGAGGTAGAACAAGTGAATTGTTGCCCGGTAGCATTACTAGGATAAGCCAAACTCTGTTAGTGGGCTAAAATCCATAACTTGCTCACTTTATCTATAATTCTGTGGCTTCCTACTCACAAGTGTCAGATTGAGTTCCATGAAACTCACAACAAAACTCTTTTAAGGTAGCATAAACCCTAAATGATAATATAGTCTCAATTGGGGGAATAGGTTGGATTAAATTAATATGGACATTTCAGGCTAGGTCCAAATTCTTTGTTCAAATGAATCAGTTTGAAAGGAGAGAAATTTAATCAGAGTGTTTGCATTGACTTCCTTCTGAAGTACAAATGCTCTTGTCTTGAAGGCTGTTTTGTACTCAGCAGTATTTCACCATGAGGGTTGCCAGTCACTTAAATGGGAGAGGAGCTAAAGATTACATGGAAGAAGCTAAAGATAGAGAATAACAACAGATCAAAGTGCAGAAGATGGGAAGAAAGGACACCTTTGTCCTCTTCTAATTTTATAGTCAACGTTTCCTTAGAGCAGTGTTTCTTGAACTTGGCTCCTTTAAGATACATGGACTTCAGCTCCCAGAATTCCACAGCCAGCATGCTCTGAAGCAGCCAAGGTCGAGAAACACTGCCTTAGAGGCCTCTCCACATCTTCAGGATAAAAAAAATCAGATAATGATAGCTTGTCCTGTAGAAGCGCTAGTTCAGGGGTAGGCAACCTTGGCTCTTTTATGACGCGTGGACTTCAACTCCCAGAATTCCTGAGCCAGCATGGCTCAGCTTGGAAACCTCTCCCTTTCCCCTCAGCGTGGCTGGCTCAGGAACTCTGGGAGTTGAAGTCCACGAGTCATAAAAGAGCCAAGGTTGCCCACCCCTGCTCTAGTTATACCAGTCTTACTTTCCTTTTTTAGTTCTCTATGCAAAGTCAGACAGAGAACTAATCCTCGGGGATATCCTTCCTTCAAACATCTCATAATACACACTCTATCTACCTTTACTACAAGAAAAGTGAGCGCAACTGCTTTAGGATTGTTTGCATGTGTACACAAATTTTGTAACGGTTTTGTCTATTTTTTCCCCAGGAGGTTGGATACTGTCAAGGGATGAGCCACATAACCGCATTGCTCCTAATGTACATGAATGAAGAAGATGCTTTCTGGGCTTTGGTGAAACTGCTCTCGGGACCCAAGCATGCTATGCACGGTAGGTGTCTGACGTTTCATTCAGTGTCATTATAGCTAAACTGGCCTCTTCACATTACACCTTTTTTTTTTTAAAGAATTACATTTAGAATTTTGCTTTTCAATTCTTCAATATCGTGGCTGGGTTCACACCACAGTCCTAAACCAAGTAGACAAGTCAAAGATCTTATGGATATCACATAGAGCTGAAACAAATGGCGTTACAGGTAGTCCTTGATTTACAACTGGTTGCTTAGTGACTGTTCAAAGTTACAATGGATCCCCCAAAAAGTACTTACAAAATTCTAACAGCTGACCCTCCCAACCATCCCCCCCCAATTGTGTGACCACATTTCAGGTGCTCAGCAACCAGCCCACATTTGTGGCTTTTTGCAGTGTCCTGCAATCACATGAGTCCGATTTATGATCTGTTTTTGCGGAAAACAGATCTTTTACTTCTGGTTTTCAGCAAAAATAACCCCATTGTGAACAATGAGTTTGCTGAATGGCTTTAACATTCACTTTACAAGAGGCACGAAAAAGATGGTTAAAATTGGGCCTGGTTACGTGATGACCTGCTTTACCATTATCATGATTTACAACCATAATGGGCAGTCTCTGTGTTATGGTTATAAGTTGAGGACTATCTGTATGGCTTCATGCAGTGACCTGGTTCGCATAACATGCTTCCAAAAGATACTGAACAGCCAACTGCATTAAACCTCGAATGGTTGATCGCACACCATCAAACTGAGGTCAGCTCTTAGTGACTACATAACTAGAACTTGTTCAGCACGGTCTGTCCCATCCTAAGTCTTCAGATCTTCTAGCAAAGCACCTTTCACTGCTGTAGTTGAGACAATCCACTTTGCTGCTGGTCATCCTCTTCTGTTTCCTTCCACTTTTCCTTCTTTTTCATCTTTCCCATTGTTATAGCTCAGATTCGGATGCTGCATTAGCCTAGGTATAGATTAGTAATCCCATTAAAGTGGTATATTTTAATTTAACATTACTTATTAAGTTACTGCAGTGTGCAGCGTCGCCTTGTGGTGAGATAGATGGCAAACAAATTTTACAAACAGACAGACAAACAAAGAAACAAACAAAAACAAACAAATAAATTAAATAAATAAATAAATAAATAGTTGCTTGTTCATGATGACCTCTCTTTTCCTTCCCCCACTTTTCCCAATTTTAGGGTTTTTTATTCCTGGCTTTCCTAAGCTGTTGAGGTTTCAAGAGCATCATGACAAAATAATGAAGAAATTTTTGTCCAAGCTTAAGCAACATTTTGTAAGTAAATGCCAACATGAATATGTTGATCAGGGGAATTGTTCACAGATGAAATTTCTTTGGCATTTAATTTTCATTTAACTTTCGCTTCCATAGAGTGTCACAGGAAATACAACAGCTGGCACCCATGCTAATCTTTATAGACATAGACACCTCATGGGATATGAATAACTTTTCAAAAAGTCTTTCATGGCTACTTTACCAAGTGCTACCTGGTAGTCTATTTCTTGACTGCTTGTTCCTTTACTATGGATGGTGGATCCTAAAATAGCAGAAGCAACCTACCACTCTGATATCTTCATTATCTATCCTAAGGCTGGTTGTTTTACCTGCAGTCATTAGTTTGGTCTTTTTAATTAAAGTTCCATTTTTTTTCACTGTGCTTCTTGACTTTTATTACCAGAGCTTGCGCATCCATTGTATTTTCAGCTATTGGAATAGTGTCATCAGCACAATGCAAGTTATTGATTGTCCTGTTCCAATTTTAAAACCATACTCATCTTCCCTTCGTGTATATTCAGCACATAAGTTGAATAAATAAGGGGAAAATATTCGATCTTGTCACATTCCTTTGCAAACCTGGAGCAGTCTTATTTGGCCATGTTGTGCCCATTCTGTGGCTTTCTGACATGTCTTTATTCCTGACCTGTCTTTAAGCCTTGGTAAGACCACACTTGGAATATTGCACCCAGTTTTGGTCGCCACAATATAAAAAAAGATACTGAGACTCTAGAAAAAGTACAGAGAAGAGCAACAAAGATGATTAGGGGGCTGGAAGTTAAAACATAGGAAGAACGGTTGCAGGAATTGGGTATGTTTAGAGATTGGACAACCATTTGTCTGAAATGGTATAGGGTTTCTTGCCTTGAGCAGGGGGTTGGACTAGAAGACCTTCAAGACTCTGTCATTCTGTTATTCTTTAGGTTCTCATGAGGGCAATGAGATGTTCTGGGATGCCCATTTTTCTAAGCACTTTTAACAGCTTGACATAACTGACCCAATTGAATGCTTTTTATGTAATTGGTGAAGAGTCTTTAATAATTAGGAATATTGCTTTTATATTAAGCGATGGATGGATGGATGGATGGATGGATGGATGGATGGATGGATGGGATGGGATGCAAACACTCTAAGCCAGTGGTCCCCAATCAGTTCCATGGAAAATAATTTTCCCATAGATGAGGGAGATGGTTTCATGTGCTACTTAGATCACACACATGTGCAGATGATGCTTGGCTTGGGGGTTAGGGACCCCTGCTGTAACAGTTTGGAGACAAACTATACGTCTAGAAGCTGAACAGTGGTTTCCCAACATATCTGTCACCAGAGTTACCATAAACTGGTGATTTGCCAGTTAAGCACCTTGGGAGCTAGCATAGTCGGTGGTACTGAATTCTGCCTAGAAAAAACTTCGAAGAAATCTCCTAGTATACGTAGTCCTCGACTTACAACTACAACTGAGCCCATTGTTATAGGTAGGTCTTGCAGTATTTTATTTGTATATGGCAGTCCATATTTCCCTTCTCCTATTTCTTCCATCTCTAGGTCCATTTCTTCTGCTTCATCCTCTGGTTTCTGATTTATTTGTTCATACTTTGTAATCGTTATCTGGGAACTTTCCAGTTCTAGCTTCAGTTTGGAGATTTGGTCATTTATATCATCTAGGTTATTTTTAGTCTCATTATGGTTTCTTTTTATGTCCTCTTTGTGTGCAACAATTATTTGATGAATTAGCTGTAGCATGGAGAATATTTCCTTCTGAAAGATATTTGTTTTTTTCCTGAGGCATCATTCCTAGAAATCCTCTAGTGTCACCAGTCTCAGTAAGAGTGGAACAAAGTTTCTTCTGGTTTTCTAGTCTTTATATGTAACCTTTATAATCCAGTCCTAATGGCAGTATTTTATAGTAATCTTTTATCTCAAGTATCCTGAAAATTATCAGTCAGGCAAGGTTGTAATCCACAATGTTCCAAGTGTTCAAAATGTTCAACCTCCCTGCAGCCAGACATATTCAAAAGTCAACTTTTTTCTTTCTCTCCCACTAGCTCTTGAGATTAAAAGTCCAAGCTCAGTAGGTATTTATAGTCCAAGAAGGTCAGGATGATAAATATGCCAAAATATTTTCCTTTATTGCCAGCTGTTCTCCCTTCAACTGAAAGTCACCAAGCAGCCACGGGGCTAGTTATAGTGCTGTACTCAAATCCACCACTAGATGTCATTCAAAGTCCATTTTCCACTCTTAAAACAAAGGGTTGATTTCTTACATTTCACCTCAATGAATTTTTTTCCAAAGAGAAAATCTTAACAGTTATCTCAGTTCTCAAAGTTTATTAAAACTGTAGCTTTGTATAACTTTCACTTCAGTATTCTATATTTCTGTCTCCCATAATAAATTTAAAACACCGCTTTCGTTCACATCTGGAAGTTTTTAGCTTCTTGGGAGCCTTTCCCAAGAAATTCAGTTGTAAAATAGTAAAGAAAGGATCAATATTCTCACTCAGTTCCAAACATGCTGTTTACGATGTGCTAATTGAAGCTTTTGTTCTTCGGTCGTCAGCAGCTAATGGTTGGCCACAGTCTTTCCCCTGCCGGTTTAAATGGCTTTCCTTGGATCAAACAAGGTACCCCTCCTTTTTCATCACCTCTTCGGGGTGACTTTAGGCCTTTTCAGGGCCCCCAGCAGGGCGAAATTGGGCGCAGAAGGCAGAGCCCTGCCTTCCTGCGTCCGTCTTGCCGCGATGCAAAACCGGAAGTCCCGAGGACTATCTGTAGTTATCCTGCAAGGCAGCACGAGAGGGAAATACACTTTGAATAGTGTGCATTTAACTCCACATTTGCATTCTGCTGTATGTCATTTTTTTTCTTCTAAGATTGGTAAAATGTGTCTTCTTGGCAGGATGCCCAGGAGATCAACACCACCTTTTACACAATGAAGTGGTTTTTCCAGTGTTTCCTTGACCGTGTGAGTAGCCTTAGCTGTTGTTTTCATTATCTGGGCCAGAGATGAATTTTTGTTTATCTGCTGACACATCTGCATGGTTCTTTCATTGCAGACTCCCTTTAGGTTGACCCTCAGGATCTGGGATGTCTACGTACTCGAAGGAGAGCGGATTCTTATTGCAATGGCCTACACCATTCTGAAACTGCACAGAAGTAAGAGCTTTGCCTTGGCTTTAAATCAGGGGTGTCAAACTCAATTTCACTGAGGGCCGCATTAGCATTGCGGTTGCCCTGGGGGGGGCAGGTGGGTGTGGCCAGAGTGAGTGCAGCCTACTGGGTGGGTGTGGATGGAGTGGGTGTGGCCTACTGGGTGGGCGTGGCCAGTTCTACATCATTCGCGTCAAGGGTGCTTATGGGGGCCTGGGCAGGAGTGGGACAGATCTGAGGGTCTCTGGCAGAAGGGGGTGGGACCGGGGCAAGTGCCAAGGAATGGTCCACCAAGGCAAGTGCCAAGATGGCCACCACAAAATTGTACATTGGCTCCCGGCTGGCCTGGGCCAGGGCCAAGGCAGCGGGGGCCGTTCCCTCACTGTTTCCAGGATGGCTTCACGGGCCGCATGAAACCACTTCGCGGGCCGCATCCAGCCCCTGGGCCTTGTGTTTGACATGTCTGCTTTAAATGCTCTCTGGCTACCTGGCATGGTCAGTCCTTGTTTTAAGTGACCAGAATTGGGGATTCTTATTTCTAGCTGGCTTAAAAGTGATAGAAGAGAATGTTTGTAGCTTAGGCTTGAACTGTAGAGACCTTGGTGTTCTCTGAGCTTGGTTGCTTTCTTGTAGACGTTTCATTACCAAACTAGGTAACATCATCAGTGTACATAGTGGGCAATGAGACATCTGCAAGAACACCACCAAGCTCAGAGAGCACGAAGGACTCCATGGTGGCTGAAAACTCCCAATAAAGTAAATGTCTCTGGAGATTCTCAGTCATCCAGGTCATGGTTGTCTCAAAGGTGCTTTTTCAAGAAGCAACTGGACTTTCTCGTTTTTCTTTTCTTTTTTTTCTTTGAAGACGTTTTGCTTCCCATCTAAGAAGCTTCTTCAGCTCTGCCTGGATGGTGGGGAATGGAAGGGTTTATAGTCCCCACCATCTGTTTGCAAAGAATATAAATCATCTTGGTTGATACTCATTCGCTCATGGTCAATATTTGAGATAGGGGTGGAAGGTCAGCACAGGTAGCTGATCTGTTTTTGGGATGTCTTTACCTAGTGACTCGGGATTCTAGAATTATTGATTTAAGAAGTAGGTTGGGTTCTATTTTTCAAGGTATTTCCTTTACATCGAGAAGGATATTTTCTTACATTTTAATTGCATCTTCGCTGTCTGATACAGGTAGATCTTGACTTACAATTGAGCCCAAAATTTTTGTTGCTAAGCAAGACAATTGTTAAGTGAGTTTTTTGCCCCGTTTTATAACCTTTCTTGCCACCGTTGTTAAACGAATCATTGCAGTCATTAAATTAGTAACATGTTTGTTACAAATGTTTGGCTTCCCCACTGACGTTGCTTGTTGTCAGAAGGTCGCAAAAGGCGATCACGTGACCCGGGGATGTTGCAACAGTCATAAATTCATGCCAGTTGCCAAGCTGTCAACGCTACTAACATTGGATGTTCTTGCTTTGACAACGTTTTTCTTTCTGTTGTTTTACTCTTAGAGTTACATGATGCTGGGGAGAGGGGGAGGAATGGATGGGAGTTAGTTAGACATTCAATATCGTAACAAGAGCTGATAAAGGATGGCCGGGAGAGGAAACTGTGTGGGAAGCCAGCATTTCAAACTAATTGGAGAATGTGATTTATGACTGTTAGTTTTAGGAGGAATTGTGCTTTGATACTATGTGCTGAAGGGAGGGAAAGTCAGATTTTGGCTTCAGCTATGTACGTGCGGAAGCGATGCTGCTCGATTAAAGATTCTTTAAGGTAAACAATGCCTCAAAGTTCTTTGAAGAGTTTCATCTTTCGGAACCATGACACAAGCATCCACATTTGGATTACATGACCATTGGCAGGGGTAGGCAACCTCGGCTCTTTTATGACTCGTGGACTTCAACTCCCAGAATTCCTGAGCCAGCCATGCATTCAGGAATTCTGGGAGTTGAAGTCCACGAGTCATAAAAGAGCCAAGGTTGCCTACCCCTGACCATGGGGATACTGCAAGGATCGTCAGTGTGAAAAACAGTCATAAGTCACTTTTTCCAGTGCTGCTGTCACTTTGGCCACGAAAAGAATGGTTGCAAGTTTTTTCTCCCCCTGCATCACCTTAGAACACCTGATGAAATTGCAGATGGAAGAACTGGTCCAGTTTCTTCAGGAGGCCCTCGCCAAAGAGTTCTTCTATGAGGATGATTTCGTAATAGAACAGCTCCAAAGCTCCATGGCAGAACTGAAACGAGCGAAGATGGACCTCCCTGTAGCAGGTGAGCAATCCTTCTAGATACCAGTCACTCGTGGTGGTGTGTTTATTTGCGCACCTTTTGAAATTCCCTCGCCTGTTGGCAAGGATTGTAGAATTGCACTACTAGGACGGGAAGTCTGCAAGAGCTTCAGTGTATCTCCTTGGAAACCCCGATCATTTACCAAAATGAGCACATCCCGGTGACTGCCATCTGTGCACTGTGCAACTAAGGTAGTTTGGTAGATTTTGCTACCTTGCTTCAAGGTATGTTCATCTCAGTATAACATTTCTGCAAATTTTGAAGCTGTGGGAAAAACATTATGTTTGTTTGCCGCCTGCCGCCCTGCTTTAAAAGTAAGGAGAATTTGGGGGGGGGGGGGGAATGGAGGCATATTTATTGTTTAAAATCCGTTACAATTACACCTTTATTGTTAATGAAAGGTGAGTGAACACTGAATTTCCTCATAAATATGTCTTTGGTGTATGCAGTCGAACAATGGCATTTATTCACAGGATAATGACAAATGGCAGTGATTTAATTTACTTTAGATCTTTAGTTTTTATAGCAAACAGGTCTGTCAAACTCTAAGGACCACAGCATCTTTTCATTTTGATCTCTTTCGTTAAAGCTGGCACACGGAAATTTATCTTTCAAAACAAGAGACTGCCAACTTGATAGTAAGAGGAAAAATGTATATTCTGGACATTTCTGCCCATATTTTTAAATATAAAATGTATATACAGTAGGTTCAGAAAAACCAGAACAGAAAATAATGTGGAACACCCATTTTGATTACTTTCATCCAGTGTCTCAATCAGTCGTGTTCTGAATCCTGTCAGTGGATTTTATTGCAGCTGATTTCTTATTTTTGTCCTTTCTTCATTTTTATGGATTTCCGGAAGCAGAATGTTCCCCGCTTATTGTGACATCACATGTTCCTTTATTTCTTAATTTGGAGGGAATACTGTCAACTCTAAATCAGACGCTTCTGCGCCCTAGTAATTTACAGCTTTTTTCATTTTTCTAATTTCTCAGGAAAAATTCAGAAACTGTCAAAATGGGAGGGGAAAAAAGGGGGGGGAAGCAGCATTCCCCCCCCATTTTTTCCCCCCAACATGTCTATTCACCAACCCAAAGCGTGAATAAAAATAAATAAAACGTCTGTATGCCTAATCCCTTGCTTCTTAGGAGGCATCTGTTTCCTGCAAACAGCCTTACCTTTTGGCATGGACCTTGGCACATTCTGAAATCCTTTTAATTAGAAAGGGAAAGGTCGCGTTAATTTCTAGGCAACAGGCTCCGGGAAGGCATTTTCACCCGCGATGGGGAAATAGTTGAGGTCCTCTTTGCCAATTGCGGCAGCTTTTGCAGAAAGAGCAGAGCGATTCCCTCGTTTATTTAGCAGATCCTGCCTTCCTAAGGAGGTTTCCGTGGCGTTAAATGAAGAAGGTGGGAAAGGGAATTGAATGTTCTGCTTCAGTTCTTCACCAAGAGTGAACCCTTCAAGAGAGGCCTTATCAGCATTTGGGGCCAAGGGAAGCAAGTAAAAAACAACAACAACAACATGTCAGGTGCAAATATTTCTTTTGAAAGATGAGGAGGACGGTTGTGTTGTGAAGATGCACCATGCAGATTTATATTGAGGGGGGGGGTCCTTGGTGCTCTCTGAGCTTGGTTGCTTTCTTGCGGACGTTTTCAGTGCTGATGGGATGTTACCTAGTTTGGGTGATGAAATGTCTGTAAGAAAATAAGCTCAAGAGAGCACCAAGGACCCCCTCATTTCAACCCCGAAGCTGCAAATATTATTCTCTTTTATGGATTTTTATATATCGGTTTTAGGTTGTTTTCCAGCCCTGTGTAGTTCTGGCACTGCACCATTTTTTCAGTGTCGGTTTGTTGAAAGCCTGAAGACCTCTATTTTTACTATCTCAAAGGGGCTTTCCCCCCCCCCAAAAGGCAACTGGACTGTTATTTGAGGAAGATGATTTTTCACTTCTCATCCAAGAAGCTTCATCAGTTGTGACTGGATGGGGGGGGGGGGGGATGGAAGGATTGTATTTCTTTGCAGTCATCTGGTCATTAGCACTCTCTCTGAGAGCTCTTGAGGCCCCTTGTGGGTTTATCTATGCCCTCAGGGTCATCAGAATCAGGGTGCAGATGGGTGTGGCATCTTCTTGGAACTGCTCAAAAGGCCTCATTGTAGACAGGAGATAGTGGTGGTGTCTTATTCTTCCCCCTCTGTCTAATGACCAGATGGCTGCAAAAAAAATATGCAATTCTTCCAAACCCCCCATCCTCTAAGAACCTATGCTTCCATGCCCCCACCATCCGGTCTCAACCGTCAATACCTATCCTTGCATCTCCCCACCATCCATTGACAACTGATGAAGCTTCTTGTAAGAGAAGTGAAACATCTTCTTCTTCCGCAAAAAACGGTCCAGCTTATATTTTTAAAGCACCTTTGAGACAACTTATGTCCCGGATGACAAAATCTCCATAGATCTCTAGCTTTACTACCATCAGTTTACACCCCGTTGTGGTTGCTGTTGAAGGTGCAGTGCGTTTTTAAGACTATCAGAAAGACGCCAATCCCAATTTGGTGTCCCGTGGTGATGGCCGCTGGTCTTTTCAGCCTTTTTCCAGATTTTTCAGTTATCTTTTTTTTTTTAAATAATAATAATAATACTGGTATCTATTTGCCAACCTGTGTAAGAACCCAGTTTTCTTACCCTGGTGTCTTTGCTGCAGCTGTCCTTTTCCGTCCCTTTTAAAATTAGAATTTTAAATCTGGAGATTATAGCAAACTGTGCTATGGTGGCATGTTCTAGCACGCCTTGAGTATCATTAATAGCAAATATAAACACTGTTAGGCTTCTCGGGACCTGCAAAACATGTTTCCTGGAGAGAAGACAGGCAATTCAGACCTTTGGCCCCCTTCTCTTCATTTGCTTTCTGATTTCGCACTTGCTTCCATTTAACCTCCCTTCTCAGTTTTTCCTGTTCATCTTTCCCCCTCTTAACACAACCTAGTTATTATTTTTCTCCATCCTTCCGTTGCCTTTGGAATACAGACGTACCATCCAAGCTTTGTGCCTACAACTAGCTTGAATGGCAGGAAAGAAATGCAGTTGGGCTCTTTTCTTGTCCAGTCCGTTACATGCAGTTGGAGCATAAGGCCCATCACTCTTAAAAAGTCCATCAAACAGAGATGAATTAAAAGAAAGTGGAGAGACATCCATATTGCTAAGCGAATAAGCAGAAAAGAACCTAAACTAGCTGTCCTCTGGTTTCAAGCATTATTCAGAAAAAAATAATGATTTTCTGATTACCCATCATTGATGAGCACTGACGATGTTACCTAGTTTGGGTAATGAAACGTCTGCAAGAAAACAACCGAGCTCAGAGAGCACCAAGGACCTCTCATTTTCAACCCTGAGCTACAAATATTCTGCTTTATTGGTGTGTGTGTGTGTGTGTTCTTATACACCTCTTCCACTTTTTCTCTGAGTTTATATCTTTGGAAAATTGATATATTGATGCACCCTGTTTAGGAATGGTGTGGCCCAATCTTCTTGTCAGAATCTCTTATTCTACTTAACAGTCACAAAACACCTTAATAATAATAATAATAATAATAATAATAATAATAATAATAATAGTAGTAGTAGTAGTAGTAGTAGTAGTAGTAGTAGTAGTAGTAATAATAGTAATAATAGTAATAATAATAATAATAATCCCAAAACAACTCGAGCACCACTTGAACACCATTGGCATTGACAAATTCGCCATTAGTCAATTGCAAAAGGCAGCTTTACTAGGAACTGCTTCCATCCTGCGACGATATCTGTAATACCATCAAACATCCACATCTACCTATCCCAGGTCCTGGGTAAGGACTCGATAGGTAGACAAAATGCCAAATCCAGTCTGAACATCTGGCTGACTGTGCGATGATCCATAATAATAATAATAATAATAATGGTAAAGTTGGAAGGGACCTTGGAAGTCATCTAGTCCAACCCCCTGCTCAGGCAGGAAACCCTATACCATTTCGGACAAATGGCTGTCCAGTCTCTTCTTAAAAACTTCCAGTGTTGGAGCATTCACCGCTTCTTTACTTGAACACAAAGGGACAGTGTGAACTCTTGGTCTCCAGGCTTACAATCTAATATGAAAGGCTCCAGATGTTCTCCACTTGGCGCCTTCCACGTTTGAAGCATGGGCAACCATGAAACAAGACCAGACATTCCATCTCTGAAACATGACTTGAGACAGCACCGAGACCCCATGCTGGTTGCAAATTCTGAGAATTTTAGTCCAGTACATCTCTCTGGCAACAGATAATGCTTGGATACTCAAAACCCTACCTCACCAGGACACACAATGCTTGGGGGGGAATGACTTCGGTTTGATTTCTCTCTCCCCCCCCCCTTCATATTGTGATATTCCCCGTTAAGTAGCAAAACCAATTAACTCAGTGTGGGAAAACGCTGCTTTTACAGGATTTTCTTAGACACTTTGCCAGTGAATAATCCCCTTGAAACACAGCAATATTTGCTTCTGAACAAACCCGAACTCCAAGCTAAAGAACTACAACACAACGTTAGCCCCAAATCCTTTCTCCTCTTTTGCTTAATCTGTCACTCGGTGTTCTGGGAAGGAAATTCTTTGGAGAAGAGCTTGCCAACCTCAATTTTTTTTTCTTGTGCTCTGGGTCCCTCCCATCAGAACATATCTGGAAGTTAATTAAGCTTGGTAGAATTCTCCATCTGCTGTGGTTGTTTAGGATGCTTTGAGCTTCCGAAGCTGCCTGGGCAGACTTTGGTCTCTTATCAAAAAAAAGAAAAAAAAGAAAAAAGAAAACTGGTTTATGCAGTGTTGTGGGGCTGGGGGTTGGACATAAAGCTCCATCTGGAAGGGAATTGGGTTGGGTGTACTTTATCCTTTTTTAAGCTCTCCTTCAGAATGAAATGGAAGAGCTTCATACTTGGTTAGCTGAGGATTTGCTCTTTGTGCGTGGG